TTGAAGTGATGACGCAAAGGATGACACAGTAGAACAGCTAGCTACTCTCCAAGAAAAGTAACGAAGCTTCATCAAGTCAAATAGAAAAAAATGTTATGGAGAAACAACTAACTGTTGAACAGATTCAACTCAAGAAGGAGCTCGAAACTTGAAGAATTGGTTTATTTTAAATATTATATTTAATCAAAATGAGCATTGGTCTGCCAGTTTCAAAGCAAAGGCAAGTTTTTAGGCTTATACTTAAACCTAGTTAATTCGAAGTGAGCATGCCTAATATGAATGTTGCCAGTCCGTCCATTTAATTCACCTAATGATTTTCAAGAAACTTCAACTATTTCATTTTATGTACTTAGCGTTGTTCAAAGCTTTCCAGCTGATTATTGTGAAAGTGAAACTCATTTATCAGATCACGGCATATCGGGTGCGTCAATACTAGCGAACAAGATTACACAAATTTCTTTTTTCAACCTATGTAAGGGTGGAATAAGAGAGATTAATCCTAACACTCAACGTTTTGCATTTCCACTTGGCTGTTCAAATTACACCATTGATTTGGATATAATGAGATCGAGCATTTTATAGTGCAAGAAGTGTATCAAAATAATTTCAATGTCATAAGAGAAGATGGTGTTGTGTGATATAACACTTTGAAAGTTCATACAAAATTGACTTTAGAGGTCGTCGTAAGTGGCATTATGGAATGTTTACATGCTGGGAATTGAGGCTCCAAGAGTTACTCAATTAAATTCAGCTATCCATGGTGCATTAATATTGGTGCATGCACAGTGGAAATGCATTGATAACAACAATTTTAATTGTCACTATCACAAATCAACCTGAAGAAGATCTAAGGTTGTTACATGGAACAATTAAAGACTACTATAGTTGAATCAGTAAAAAAAATCACGTAATTTATATGTTTTATCATATTATTTGTCCACATGTCTGGTAATTCATTTGTTTAATAAAATTTTAATGATATATTAAATAAAAACACAATTAATTACCAAAAAAGATGAAAATTATCATCACCAAACAAGTAGACTGAATATAATTGAAAATTAAACACATGAATTACCTGACATGTGGAGTAATAATATGATAAAACATATAAATTATGTAATTTTTTTTAACCGATTCAATTATAGTCTTTAATTGTTCCATTTAGCAACCTTAAATCTTGTTCATGTTGATTTGTGATAGCGACAAATAAAATTGTGGTTATCAATGCTTTTCCATTGTGCAACCACCAATATTAATGCACCAAGGATAACCGTATTTAATTGAGTAAACCGCAAGGCCTCTACTACCAGCACATGAAGTCATAAACATACCACAATGCCACTTACGGCGACGTCTAAAGTTAATTCCTGCATAAACTCACAAAGTGTGGTATTACATAACACCATCTTTCATACGTAATTGAAATTATTTTGAATCACTTTCTTTTATACTATAAAAGATTCTCCTCATTATATCTAAATGAATGCCATAATTCGAAATACTAAAGTGAAAAGCAAAAAATTGACTATTACGTATAATCCCTCTTATTTCACCTCTTAGATAGGTTGAAAAAAGAAACATGTTTAACCTTGTTCGTTAGTAATAACTCACCGAATATCTTGTAATCAGATAAATGAGCCTCATCTTCACAATAATGAGCTGGAAAGCTTTGAAGATCTCTACATACATAAGAAAATAGTAATAGTTGATTTTAAATCATTAGATGAATTAAATGGGCAAGCGCGCGACATTCTAAACACCTATTTTACAAAAAAAAAAAAGGTAGTATATTTGTTCAGATTGGACATGCACACCTCAAATTAACTAGGTTTGATTATAAGCATAAAACCTATATTTCTTAAAAACATGCAGGACAACGACCATTTTGAATGAATATAATATTTAACAAACATTTTGTATTTCTTAATTACTATATTTAACAAACTTCACTAATAGAATCGATTTGCTAGATGTAAAATGCACACTTCAAACATTAATTTCCTCTTTCACCCAACTTCAAAAGTATCGCATTACGTGAAAGATAGTTGAAGATATTCTATTGAATTCTATGTATCATCAATCAACAAGTTTCTCTGCTACATCACAACTAATTTATTGCAAACTAATTATTCAACAAAAGACCCCTTATATAAATATGATGAGATTATTGTTCATACATACATCATATTCATTTTCAAAGAAGGGGCTTCTTGTTGATTATTATAATAATGACGTTTTTTGTCCACTTCAATAAACTAGTTGCAATGTAACTTCACATGCATTATTGATCTATTATAATTAAGCAAATATTTTGTAAAGTGACAGTGGCAATACATAAAAAAGTGAGCTGCTATTTTTAAGATGATTATGTTAACTTACCATATAATAATAATAATAAAATACTTTTGTTTATTGTATATAAATATAAACAAATAAATTTTAATAATTACCTGCTATTTAGAGCAATCACACATTTTATTTCTATCTTTGAACATCAATAAATATAGTGACTGATCACTTATCCTTTTTAAACATCAATGATATTGCATGCTCTTTGATACCGTATACAAACATACTGGTACTTTCACACACATCCCTTCAATAACCACTACTCCTTTCCCAAGTGTTTTTCATCCATACCACAACACTGCAATAGATTCTAATTAATATAAGAATTAAATTTTCATATTTGATATTTTACTTTAAAATGTACTTTATTACTAGATATGATGAAAAGTATCATTCTCAAACAAGTTGAAAAAAAATTCTTTAATATTAAACACATGAAGTAAAACATGTGTCAAGTGATAATAGGATAAAATTTATCAATTGAGTAATAAACAAAATTATATGATTGAATCAACTATAATTATGTCTTTATTTGTTAAATGTAACAGGCTTGGATCTTGATTATATTGATTTGTGGTAGTGACAATTCAAAAAATGTGTTTATCAAATATTCCAATGTGTATCCACCAATACTAATGCACCAAGGATAACCCTATTTAATTGAGTAAGCCTCACGACCTTCATTACTAACATATAAAGTAATAAACATACCACAATGCCGCATCGACAATCTCTAAAGTTAATTCCTGCATAAACTCACAAAGTGTGGTATCACATTACATCATCTTTTCTTGCGTAATTGAAATTATTTTGACTCACTTTCTTTTGCACTATAAAAGACTCTCCTCGTTATATCTAAATGAATGGTGTGATTTGAAGTAGTTAAGTGAAAAAGCAAAAAATTGACCCTTAGGTATAATCCCTCTTATTTCACTCTTACATAGGTTGAAAAAAGAAACGTATTTAACCTTATTCGCTAGTAATAACGCACCGAATATGTTGTAATCTGATAAATGTGTCTCATCTTCACAATAATGAGCTACAAAGCTTTGAACATCTCCACATACATAAAAAAAAATATTTACAGTAGGTTTTAAATCATTAGATGAATTAAATGGGCTCGCACGCGACATTCAAAACATCTATTTTACAAAAAAGTTAGACAGTTTGTTCAGATTGGACATGCACCCCTCATATTAACTAGGTTTGATTTTAAGCATAAAACCTGCATTTCTTAAAAACATGCAAGACAACGACCATTTTGAATAAATACAATATTTAAAAATAACAAAAAACTATTATATTTAACAAACTTTTCTAATAGTATCGATTTGCTAGATGTAAAATGCACACTTTAAACATTAATGTCCTCTTTCACTTAACTTCAAGAGTATCACATTGCGTAAAAAAAGTCAAAGATTTTTCATTGAATTTTATGTATCATCAATCAACAAATTTTTTTGATATATATAAACAATATTTGGAGATTAGATTGTGTTTCAAAATATGATATATCATGGATGAAAAAGCAAGTATATCTCATTTGATATCAAGGTGGAAATTTAGTCCCTAAACTTATGAGAAGCCTTTGCAATCACTAGTTCATTATAGAGCTTATATTGTTTTTCATTCGAATATGAAGCAAAGAGCATATTGTATTGAGCATGAAGAGCCAATAGCTAAATAATTATACAAACCAAATCTTTAAATAACAAAGAAGAAAAAAATTGTAGCTTAACAACAATGTGATCAATGTTTAGTTAGAGCAACATATACTCTTTCAATGCAAATGTGAATTTGTAATTTAGTTAAGCACAATTATTAAAACTAGTGGAAAGACAGAGTGCTCTTGGAATGTATGTAGTTGGATGTTCAATGTAATTCTCAGAACAAATTAGGATCAAATTGTTCCATAACATCATTAATGATGCTAATATTTCTCCCCTCCATTCCAAAATTATGTTCTTAATTTAATTTGACTCACATTGTAATAAAGTAAAATTTGTGATTGAAATTTATTTAAAAAAGAAAAAATAGGTGAACCACATGATTCGCTATTGATAAAAAGAGGGAAGAAAATCATGGGACAAATAGACTATGATATATTTACTCGTTCTGTCCCATAAAAAGATTCCAAATTTGGTTTGCAATGTTTGACTAAAGTTATTTCCAATTCAATTTATATGATAATCAACAAAAAAAATAAAAGTTACATTTTTAAAAACTTTATCAAATGTTCAATAAAATAAGAACTGCCATGACTATTTTATTTAGTCAAATGATGAAAGAAAATACAATTTGACCATGGGAATAATAATGTTGAACCTTTTTCTAGGACAGAGGGAGTACAATAGGAATAGCAAACCAATATATTCTTAATAGCTGAACAAGAATAATCTAAAGTAGAACCCAAGTGAAGAAAAATGGACAATGAAGCTACTTAGGTTTTGTTACTTTGCATCAAACTAGCTATAACAAGTTTGGAAAAAATTATAGGCTTGAAACTGATCGGTTCAAATGACTTGCATAGCACCAGAATTAACACAAAATCAATTTAACCATCCCTTGAGCTAAACAAGATGTCCAAGCAACTCATAATGATGATGATGATGATGATGATGATAATATAATAATAATAATAATAATAAGCCATGGGAAGTATACTAACCAACATAACAATAGGGTTGTGCATCAATCCAACTCCGGACCAGATCGAGACCAGACCACATACTAGACCAGTAATCCCCAGACCGGCCCGAGACAGGACCGAATATGACCTGGTTCTCAAATCAAAGTAGGCACCCAAAAAAAATAATGAAGAGTATTCTTACATCATTGCATATAAAGTAGGCACCAAAAAAAATAAATGGGAAGCACCAAATAGATTAAGTGCTATGCTAATCAGAAAAACCATACAACCATACCAGGGTAAAACATAATTTGTCCAAACACTCAATTCAGCCCACTCAAATCACAGACCACCAGTGAATTATGACGCGTTCCTTCCTGAATAATATACACCCATACAAGTTAGCTTTTCCTTGTGATTTTGAATAAAATCAAATAAATCCACTACAGCAACTTGTCGTTTAGAAATTCTTGGAGAAACTAATCGGCGAAGATATGCATGAAATGAAACAGTTTGAATTTGAGATTTTTTGTCACATGACATTCAAAATTAATCAATGTAGAAATAAGATTTGCCTAGATCTTTGTTAATGTTCATATCTTAAGATCTCAACGAACTAAGCTAGAATACTTGTAAGTTGTAACTTGCTATATACCCTGGAGTATATGTTTAAAATTAATACTCCCTCCGTCCAACAATTTCTTACCCGATTTGACTTCGCATGAATGTTAAGAAAAGTTACAATTTGTGTTGACTTTCAAATAATCCCCTCCTTCCCGCTAGGAAACTGATGACCTAAGATTTTCCAGAGAGCCAAAAGAGGTTAGGGATGTAAGACAAGCATGACGTCTCGGCATCAAAGGAAGAGATTGGTGCCGGAGAAGGAAGAGGAGGAGGCAGAGAAAGAAAACATGAGAGAGGAAGAAGATGGACAAGGCGTCTGCAAAAGGAAGAAATGGGTGGTGAGAAAAAATGAGAGAGAAAGAAGATGGACAGTGCGTGAAGAAGAAATGGGTGTCCAAGATGACAATCAACCATATATGGGGCACCCTAACATTTTTCAGCCAAATAAGGATGGAGGGCAAAATAGTCATTTTAGTGTGTTTTTTTTCAAAAAAAATGAAACGGAGTGTGTTGAGATGAGAGGAAGAGAAACCCCATTTCTTGAATCCAGTTCATCAAGCTCTGCGCACTGTAGAAATATGAGAACTGAACTGACGAACAATGCAAAAACAAAACCAATAAATGACTGAAGATGGCGTTGAAACAAAACTGAGCGAATTGAAGATTATTGCCGGGCGGGACTGCCAAACAATTACACTTTTTCATGATCGCTTTTTGACCAGCGACTGGACAAATCACTAAATAAATGATTGTGTCGAACAATTGAGATAGATTTCGTACGGTATAGATCGTAGATCTGTGGTTGACCACGACGGGCAAAACAAAAACAGAACAGCAATAATACCTTGTTGACGGACGGCTGGACTGATTTGAAAAGCTACGGCAGCGGACAGATCGACTTGCAGGAGAAGAACTTCGCCGGCGATGGATGGAAAGGATTCCGCGGGCGACTGAACTGCTACTAATGACGGCCGGGATACTTCGACTTGTTGAGGATGGCTAGATAACTCCGACGAACTTATAAGGGTCGCCGCCGCCTCCACGGCGATGGACTCCGGCCGGTTCTTCAAACATATATCACCATCGTTGTAAACTCCTGTTTGCTCTTCAAGTATCACCAATCGTCTTCTTCGATGCAGCCGAACCTTCATGCTCTACCTTCAGAGAAGTCAATTTTTATTAAAATCATATATTTGAGGGGAGACACGAACACAGAGCTCCCCTTCACGTACAGTCTTCTTCTTCGCAGTCATAGATCTAAACCAGAGATGGAGTACTCCGTAATTGCTATTGGGTAATATAGAGAAAAATAGCAAATTATACCGTACAGCCGGCTGTACCTAATTTTTGGTACAGCCGGCAATTAGATAGGCGCGTTAGGAGATCGAAAAAGAAAAGATCTAAAATCTATCTGAGATCCTATAGATAATGGGGCGGTGGAGAGTGGAGCTGAAGAGGGCGTAAGAGCTTTCTGTAAAAGATCTGAGATCCCTTCTCCTTCGATTTTTTCTATCAATAGCTGAAGAAGCATACTCTCTGCACTTTGCGATGGGGAGGCTGCCCAATGAAAACTCTACTAGTTCAACAGCAAGTACGTGCTCTTACATTCAAAATGATCACTGTGTTATTTCAGAATGAGTACTGTGTTATTTAAGAATGAGTACGTATTCCAAAATGAATATTTATATTTGTACGAAAATGAGTACTACTTTACTTCAAAATGAGTACTGCCAGTTGTACCTACAGTTGTACCTATCTCTAAGTACATCCGGATGTATCATATACCAACTCGAGAAAAATGGGTGGTAGATAGTGGATAAGGAATTCGGATATACATTAATTCTCCTACTTATTATCAGATCAAATTCATTCTAAGATAGAATCTATTCAAGTCAAACCAGATCCATTAAGATGAGAAAATTATTTAAAAAATAAATAATTTTAAAATAATAAAAAATTACAATAATAACAATAGTAATTATTATTATTATTATTATTATAAAAAATAAAGAATAATACTAATTTATTATCATCGTACTTAATAATAACAGTAATAGTACTTAATAATAATAATAATAATTAAAATAATAATCATTATTGTGATTAAATAATAATAATAAATACAATGATAATAATAGTAACTAAATTTATTATCATTATTAACTAATAATAATGATAATGATAATAATGATTAATTATCATCGTAGTTAATAATAATAGTAATAGTAATTCATAATAATGATTAAAATGGTAATAATCATTATTAATATTATGTAAAATAATAAATAATGATAATATCAATTAATAATAATATTTACTTATAAATATAATAATAAAAATAATTACTGTTAATAATAATAGACTTTAACAATAATTATTATTTTAATTATAATTAATAATGATAATAATCATCATTAATGATAACACGCAATAATAATAATAATTTTTATTATAATATTTTTTTGTAATAATTATTGTTGGGTTAAGGAACCTGGGGGCCTAGGTGACTAGGCGAAAGAGTATCGAACTGAGTCGAGAGTGCACACAATATGGGGTCAAGTAGATTGAGAATAATATCGTGATAGTTGGAATATGATTTAGAACGTAAGTCCGGAGTGTGTCGAACGAGCTCCCTCGTGTGGTGTGTGTGTAGAATGAGATTCCTCCTCCCCCTTCCCTCTTCCAAGAAGAGGGGTATATATAATGGGAGAGTTACGGCTAGGGTTTGCATACAAAGACCAATGGGCCAGCCCAACAGGCTGGGCCGCCCTAAATAAGTAATTAATAAACGACTAACAGGCTGATCCAACAAACTGGACCGCCCCGACTAATATTATACAAAGATCGGATACCCCCTGTCCAGGGTATCCATCATGAGTCCCCCACTTCCCGAGCCGAGAGGAACTCGAGGTGAAGTGGGAGTAGAACAATAATCCACCACGGATGGACACCGTCTTCCTTGGTTTCTAGAGTGTACAATCACCATCAGTCGTCATGTACAGTCCGTTTGTCGTCTTCAAAGATCCTCCCACAATCTCGTCAATGTGTGACCCACCCCACGGGGGATGCCTCATTAAAAACTTGTCGAGGAAAAAACCCATGAGGATGGGAAAAAATCCTCAGTCAAGAAAAGAGTACATCTCATCCCACAGAATGGATCAAGAAAACATTGCTCGGGTGTGAGGTCTCCTGTGTGAATCTCAAAAGAGGTGATCTTCAAGTCCCCCGGACTCGTTGTCCGGAGTCGAGGGCTGTTCGACATAATGGATTGTCGGCGAGTGCATACCGACACGGACTACTGCGGTCTGATACAAGGTGGGGATGTCGATCGCCAACCTCTCATGATGTGAGATGTAACAATCACGAGCCGAGCACCCGGAGTCCCCCACTCCCTAAGCCGAAGAAGAATTCCGAGGTGAAGGGGAGTAGTGTCCATGCTCGGCTCGGTGGGAGTCTCTGGCCCCTTCACGAGATGGCCGAGGCCGAGGCCGAGCTTGAGTGGCTGAAGGCCGAGCTTGAGTGGCTGAAGGCCGAGCTCGAGTGTCCCACAAGATGGTCGAGGCCGAGCTTGAGTGGCTGAAGGCCGAGCTTGAGTGGCTGAAGGCCGAGCTTGAGTGGATGAGGCCGAGCTTGAGTGTCTGGGCCGAGCTCAAGCGGCTGAGGCCGAGCTTAGCCTTCTCATCCTTCTAACCTGCAAAATGAGTTCAAAAAAGAACACAGGGCGCTCGCGAGCTCGGATGCACCGATCACCACGCGGCCGAGAAAAGTAAGTCAACGTATGAGTTGGGTCCAAAGTTTTAGACAAAAGATAGGCCTTTTCAGCAAAGTGTGCCGATGGTGTAGTGGTATGGTCTAGAACAAACCTTGGCGTCATCCTTAGTGAGACCGAGGTCTTCAAATGAGAGCTACTCGGGTAAGTGAGATAGGCACAAAGGATGCACCCCTCGCCTTAGATCCGAGAGCAAATAGTTCACGTCGTGGAAGACGGATATATAGGAGTGTGTCGAGATGGACGGCTTACCTCGGCCTCGCGAATAATATCATCGCGGATGATTTGGAGTGCCTCGCGGGGAGGGCTTACCTCGGCCTCGTGGAAGAGGAACTAAAATCACGTCGTGGGAGACGGATGGGAGTGCGTCGCGGTGGACGGCTTACCTCGACCTCGTGGAAGAGGAAATGAGATCTCGTCGTGGAAGACGGAAAGGAGTGCGTCAAGATGGACGGCTTACCTCGGCCTCGCGATAATATCGTCGCGGACGATCTTCAACACCTCGTAGGTAGGTTTTACCCGGCCTCGCTAAGGAATGACTAAATGAGTTGGATCTGAGCCATGCCCTGAGGCAGGTCGTTGGCCTGTGTGGGGTGTGGGATTAAGCTTTGCACTCGTCCCACATCAGGGCTTAAAGTGTTGAACACAAAGTGTAATACCATCGTTCAAGTGAGGTCCGATCACATGTGGTGGACAAGGTAATGGTAATAATAATAGAGTAAATATTCTCAATGATGATATTGATAATATGGTAAAAATAATAAAATTGGAAAAGTTGAAATGTGTGTAAGAACACTTATCTTTTCCTTGGTGCATTGGAAGCTTCCCCAACACAGGATCTGCAGCTTAGATCCGAAGAATGACCAAAATCTCCCCGGTCTCAAACATTTGGTTGGTCAAATTCACGAAGGCAAAGATGCTGCCCTTTTGAGTTTTTACCGGGGTCGCTGCCGGGAATGCGCTGTGTAACGGGGAGTCGCCGCCGGTCATTGCGGGTTGCAGGGAAAGGAGAAAACAGCCGGCTGGACGGTCGGAGACTCCGCTTCCTCCGCAGCTGCTGGCCGCCGCCTTGATAGATTGGCTTCGTGTATCCCGGAATTTTTGGGCGTCCACCACATCATCCCAAATCAGATCTGAAATGATATGCTCCGTATGCTTCTCTTGGTGTCAGGCTTGCGTTTCCCGAACCAAACCCGCCGGAAATGGTGGCGATTCATGGAGCTTTGCCGGAACTGGAGCTGTCACGCCGCTGCCGGAGCTCGTCGCTGCTCCAGAGCCCCTGGTCTCTGTCGCTGGCCGCGTAGTGGAGGGATGCCGTGCAGCTCGTCCCGTCCGTGTGGTGATCGTCGCTGGTGGACCGTCGCCCGCTAGAGCAAGGGACAGACGCCGGTCAGTGGTCGTCAATCGGCCCCTAGGATGACAGATTTGAAGCAGATCTACGGCGTGGCTCTCCCATCGTGCTTCGAAGCCGGCGGTGGTCTTCTGTGCGCGAAATCAAGATCTGGCCGGCGATGGGTGGTGGCTCGAAGATCTGGACCTTCCTAGTGATGGCGATGGCCGGCGAACTCAATCCGGCCACTCCTCAGCAGATCTACGGCGAGGCGCGCCCGTCGAAGCCGGCGGTGGTCTTCCGTGCGCCAATGACAGATCTGGTCGGCGATGGTGGGGAATCCAAGACCATCGACCGAATCCCACCATGAAGATCTGGAAAAACCACTCTGTTGTTTTTTTTGTTTTGGAGCACGCTTGATGTGTTCGACACTCTCAACGAGAGCACCAATGTTAGGTTAAAGAACTCGGGGGCCTAGATGACTAGGCGAAAGAGTATCGAACTGAGTCGAGAGTGCACACAATATGGGGTCAAGTAGATTGAGAATAATATCGTGCTAGTTGGAATATGATTTAGAACGTAAGTCCGGAGCGTGTCGAACGAGCTCCCTCGTGTGGTGTGTGTAGAATGAGATTCCTCCTCTCCTTCCCTCTTCCGAGAAGAGGGTTATATATAATGGGAGAGTTAGGGTTAGGGTTTGCATATAAAGACCAATGGGCCGGCCCAACAAGCTGGACTGCCCTAAATAAGTAATTAATAAACGACTAACGGGCTGATCCAACAAACTCGACCGCCCCGACTAATATTATACAAATATCGGATACCCCTGTCCAGGGTATCCATCAATTATAATTATTTAAAAAAGATAATGATAATAATAATTACAATATTATTTAATAATTACAATTATATTTATTATTAATAAAATTTATTGTAAATATTATTAATAACAGTTATCAATAATAGTTAATAATGATTTATTATTATTATAAATTTTATTATTATTATTACTTTGGTTATATGAAAAGAACAGGACCTAATACAAAGAAATAAAAAGTGAATGGAAATGTGTAGCAGCTGGTAAGAGGTGGACTAGGTTTGGATCGTGAACATATTAGATCTATGACGTGACAAAGATTGGGTATAACCAAGAGAAAAGAAAACAACAAAAGAAGGAAGTTATTTGTGCACTAAGAAATACGGAGTATATCCCAAATTATACATTATATGTGTGTACCGAAATTTTGGTGGTTTACACTCACACGAAATGCTTGAAATTTTTTTTTAATCGCATTAGTATTTTGTGTCAGTATGAACCATCAAAATATTGGTGCACACCTAGTAAAACATTGGGAAGCTTCTAATAAACAATAATTACCAACGTGGTCATTTATAATTTAGATTTATTTTGTAAATGATCATTTGCCCAAAATGTCTATTAAATGTCAGTCAATTAGAAGATATTTTGATATTTTCTATCATCAACAAATGCTCATTTATAATTAAATATTTTTTCAAACTGACAATTTTTTAAGTAAACATTTTTCTAATTGACTGGCATTTAATGGGCATTGTAGGCAAAATGATCATTTAGGAAATAAATCTAAATTATAAATAACCACGTTGGTAATTATTGTTTATTAGAAGCTTCCCACTTTTAAATCATTTTGATGACTTATTCATAGTTTAGATAATAAAGAGCATCAAAATACCCTTTCTTTAATTGTCATTTAATATGCATTTTTATAAAGATTTATTTAGAAAACACATCTCAATTATAAAGGATCATGTTAGTAATTTTTGCTTACTGAGGATTACTTTCGAAAAAAACCATATTAGAAAAGACCATTTTAAGAATTATATTTACTCAAAATATTTTGTCATATATGGTGAAAAGGACTATTTGTGGAATAGTTTTCAAAATTTGAGGATTGTTAATGGAATCAGGGCCGGCTCAAGCCAAGGGCAAAGAGGCCACTTGGACAGGGCCCAATTGTAGAGGGGGCCCCACTTTTATCTTATAAATATATTGTATATTTATTTATTTATTATTAAATTATTTATATTATACTTTCAATATAATTTTGATCACCTATTATTGTTTAGAATGTTTGGCTGTAATTATTTTCAATTCATTTTATTTGTTGTAATTTGGTATACAATTAAAAAATAAAATTTACAAATTTAAAAATTACATCAAAATTACTAAATCTACCAATTTTACTCTCAAGAATGCTAGAAAAACTTTATGAATCCTTGGCTAGTTATTAAGGTATGTAAGATTTATAAGACTATAAATTTGACTTTTATTATTTTTATTACTATTGTACATAGTAATTTTTACTATTGTTAAAAATATAATTTGTAGATTATATTTCATTGTGATTCAATGACCTATTTTCTAGGCGTTGTCCAGGGCCCTTAATTTATCGGAGACGGCCCTGAATGGAATATTTTATAATTGGGGATTAAATATGAAAAACTACATATAATTGGGAACCATTTATGAAATTTACTCATTATTTTATTAAATCGCTAACAAAAACAGAGAAAAAAATAAATAAAATTTAACTCTGTGTATAATAAATATGTAATTTAATTTAAAATGGAGAGAGTAATTACTACTCCCCAATCCAATAATGGAGGGGGAGCATACCATTGGGGAGAGCCACACGTACACTACACCATCGTACACAAGAACAACAAAAGAGGTGCTTGAGTGACAACACCATTGATATTGATGACATTCAAGTTTATCCAAAAGGTTGATGGCTGGTGCTTGATGGAATTCCAACTGCTAGGAGTTGCTCCTCGGACATTATATTCCGAGTAAAGTCTTATTGACTGTTTTACTTGTGTTACTTTTTACTAAAGTATTATTCTCTCCGTCCCAATTTATATGACCTGTTTCGATTAACGATTTTTGACTGAAATTATTTTCAAAACATTTTATATAAAAAATGATGTAAAATTAAAAAATAAAACTGTATATTAAAATACTACATCAAAAGATTTACAAAACCATTGGTGACATCACCATTTTATTTTATCGAATGTCCCGAAAAAAAGAGAAACAAAGTAAATTATATTTGAACCTGTAAATAATACTCCCTACGTCCCAATTTATAGTGCCTGTTTCGGTTTACGATGTTTGACTGAAATTATTTTCAAATCATTTTATATGACAAATGGTATAGAGTTAAAATATACGGAGTATAAATTACATATTAAAATACTACATCAAAAGGTCTACAAAACTAATAGTGACAATAATACTTTATTTTATCAATTTGTTAACAAAAATAGAAAAAGAAAGTAAATGAAATTTGACCCTGTGAATAGTGAACAGGCATTATAATTTGGGACGGAGGGAGTAAACATGTAATTTAATTTAGGACAACAGGAATAATATTTTGGAACACTTCACTTAATGTTGGCTATGATACACTACCCAATAAAGGCGTTCATGTTGCGTTCAAATTTTCAATTTTAATATATACAGTTAACTAGTATCACACCCGTGCGTTGCACGGGTCATAGTTACGTTACTAATTAAGATCATTTTTAAGAATATAAATTATATGATGAAATGTAGAGATTTCATTATTTTAAAGTACAAAAGTAAAATGATTTACAAATTTTGAGAGACTTCTTTATAAACTACATTATTCGTATAATTCGTGTGAGCATTCACTTCGTTATATATCAGAATCTTCAAATCATTGCGATTTATTACTCTTGTTGGATCAATAAAAATAATTTTATTATTGTGACTGCACTTAGAAAAATAAAACATTCTAAGTTGCCTACATACCCCAATGAAGGGGATCAAGCCACACGTAGTTCAAAAACAGGGTTGGTTAAATTAACCGGATAAACCTTCAAGGCGCGTAATCCTTAGAAACGCTTTCCTAAAAGTTTCTTATCTACCCTATTATAAGCAACAAGGGTTTCAAGATGGAACTTTTGGGATACAATGAAGAAGACCAAATTGTTCGGTTGCTCTACGAAAAAATTTGTTAATGTACTTTAACGAGACTTGTCTCGAGACAAAGGAGACGAAAAAACATAGAAAAATACACTAATTAATATTTCATCATCATAGAATAAACATAAGAAATAAATACATTATTTCTTCATTATTCTAAATAATCGATGAAATAATAATTAATAATAAACCATTTTTCTAACATAATTTTTCTTCTTTTTACATTGTGACATGGGCCCTATTTATAGAAAATAATATGTCTCTTTATAAATGATCATGTCTCTTTTGTAAGAGACACCCATTTAATTAAAAACTTCCCATTTAAATTCAAAATAAATATTCAAGAGTTATGTCATTTAAGAATAAACATGTCTCTTCAAAGAGTTGTGCCTATTTATTTAAAATTCAATTTTGAATTCAAAATAAATCTCCAACAATCCTCCTCCATTTATTTCGAATTCAAAATATATAAATATGCCCACAAGACAAATTTCAAAAAATTCATGCATAGATGAAAGTCTAACGCATATTGAACTTCCACTTAGTGTAATACACTTTACAATATTTTGGATTACAATAATAGACTAGGCTTTGAACTATGTAACCGCTTTAAAATATTGAAGATATTACACACACAAATTTTTCTTAAAGTACAATAATAACTTGACACTTTCTGTTCAGGCCATGTGCCCATATCCATTCGTGAACATAACCAAGTCAAGCCCCTAACTTGGTGAAGCGGCCGCACTTCATGTTCATATAGGTAGATCTTTTAATCGTGTTCTGCAATTCCAACACTTTTTCAAAAGATCTATTAAGATATTCAACCTTCTTTTCCAATGCAGTATCAAACACTACCCCGGGATGATATTTATCATTTAGTGTTTACAAATTACTACGTGAACTACTTGTCAACATTGAACTCAAGATCGAGCGTCGTATTAGACGTTGAGTTGCGCTTTCGTTCACGTGTAATTAATTATGGGATTAATCACATCCCTCATATATTTTGTATATCTAACTTTAATCAGTTCTTTATTATGATCCAGAAGATATAATAATCTCTTATTTCTTCATCATATGCAGAAGAAATTTATTCCTTGTCCTTGAAACGCGCGATAAAATGCAAGGAATCTACCAAGCTTGGATATATTTAAACCATACAAAATATATCATTTAATCAATTGTAAAGCCAAACAAAAATACCTCCTCCATGAGGACTACCTAACCACTTTGGTTAATACATTGTACGAAATTTGGCATTTTATACAATAAAGTTACATTCTTCATGGTAATATCCTTCACCAATGGATGTATAGGCAACTTTATTTTTTCATAAAGAGAAATACTTTCTCTCAAACAAAAAGAATTTGATTTTTATCATCCTTAAACAAAGGATAAAACCAATATCTTTCTAACCGTAATCTTCTCCTTCACTATCACATGCCGATAATATATCATTCTTATACTCAAGTATAAGAAGATATTGAATTATTAGTATAATCCAAAAAATAACCAACCGTAACCTTTTGGTAGAATAAGAAACTTTTAGATTGTTGGATCAATAAAAATAATTTTATTATTGTGACTGCACTTAGAAAAATAAAACATTCTAAGTTGCCTACGTACTCCAATGAAGGGGATCATGCCACACGTAGTTCAAAAACAGGGTTGGTTAAATTAACCGGATAAACATTCAAGGTGCGTGATCCTTGGAAACGCTTTCCTAAAAGTTTCTTATCTACCCTATTATAAGCAACAAGGGTTTCAAGATGGAACTTTTGGGA